TAAGCCATAATCATCACAATTATGACAAATCACGGCTTGAACTTTCTTGCTTTGCATGTAAAGAGTCCATTTCATATATTAGTTTCACCTTTTTAAGTTGTATTACTGAAATAAATTAACTTTTGCATGATATTCTAATTTTTCGAGTTTCACCTGTAGCTTAAAAAAAAAACCAAAAAAACTTTTTTTTTAATTCTCAATACAGTAGGTTTTCTTTTCTTAAATTTGTTTTCATTTCTTTATTTTAAATACTTTTATCAGAATAGTACGTTACCATAGTAACATTGTACTACTCTTGGGGTTGATCAGGGATTTTTTAAAAATTTCTTTTAAACATTTGCTTTGCAGGAGCAATGCAAAGCTTGCTTTGAACTGTCACGAAAGAGTTAAGTTCATGACAGTTCAAAATAATAGTGATTGGCTGGAGCTGGTCACATGGTACAGGGTGCTGTGATTGGCCCCATGTAGCATGTGAGAGCTGTGGGCCAATCACAGGTCACCAGGAAGAGAAGCAGAACTGTTGTGAATCAGATTGATTCATAACAGCTTTGCTAACATTGTGATCATGTGATTGCTATGCAATCACATGATTACCGGGTCCCCATTCACCTGGATCTTCATTCTGCTGTGTCCGGTGGACATAGCGGTTGCAGGTGGGGAGTGTGCAGTGATTTGCCTGTAGCTGCCGTCTGTCTGTCCAAATCTCTCTGGACGGTCCCCATCCAACATGACTGAGTTTAAGAGGATTTGCAAAGAATGACTGAACATCCCCCAATCCAGGTGTGCAAAGCTTGTTGCGTCATACCCAAAAAGACCAGAGGCTGTAATTGCTGCCAATGGTGCTTCAACAAAGTACTGTATAAAGGGTCTGAATACTTAAGAACGTTTGATGTCTCATTTTTTTTTCTTTTTAAATTCACAGACCTTTCTAAAATTCTGTTTTCACTTTGTCGTCATGGGGTACTGAGTATAGATTAATGAGAAAAAAAATGGAATTATTGCAGGGAGGGTATCTATAGAGGAGTGGAAAAAAAAAAGATACTTTTTTTAATGTGGGAGTTATGAAGGTGTGAAAATGATTACTCCTGTTCTTTACCCAGGCATTGCCTCCAAGAGAGTCTGAAAGAGACAGCCCTCATGCAGAAGACACCATGGGACTATCGGGCAGTGCCGACAGGGGTATGTATGAAGCCTGTAACATACTGAGGGAGATTTACTAATGTTGGAGCAGGCAGAATCTGAAGCAGTTGTTTGTGGCAACCAATCAGCTTTTAGCTTTTGTTTTCAAATGAGCAAGCTGAAGCTAGAAGCTGATTGGTTGTTAGGCACAGCCATTCCAGGTTCTGTCTACACCAGCATTAGTAAATTCCCACCACTGTTACTTCCTGCTACTCAAAATTGTTTGTCCTAGGAAGGAAAGGTGCAGTCAGTGCTTTTTTGCAAAATTATTTAGTGTTTATAATTGCTAAACATATTTCTAAATGCGTTCAATCATTTTGTGAATTTTTGGACTCCTTTCAAATACTTCAGAAATGGTATAAACATCTGCGAAGCATTAGAACTACACAATCCCTTTTTCCTATATAGTGGAAAGGGGAAGGTAGGTGTTAGTGATGCACTGATATATCGGCAAACAAAAATAAGGTGTTTTGCCAATAGGAAAAAAAAAATGGCGCCGATAATGATAATTTTCTTAAATGCATTAACTCATTGACTTCAATGCAAAATCGTGTTCCATTGACTTCAATGGAAAATGCCTCTAATTCAAGTTTTTTTTTTTCTTAATTTTATTATTTTCTGTCCAATTTTTGTGTGTTACTTTCAATAAATGTTATACATTACTGGATTGTATTTTTTAAACTCAGTTTTATTTACATTCATGATATTAATTAAAAAGTCAAATATAATATGATTGTATATAACAAATATATTTAAAAAATAAACTGTCCATTTCGGTTTTCTGCATCCTGAATATAAAATTTCGGTCCAGAATTCTCATTTCGGCACACCAGTAGTGTTTGTAGATCAGCCTAGGGCAACAGCTCTGCTCCTGCAGCAAGTGAGCGTTATCACCATAGGACTGGAAATGTGGCACTGGTAGGATTACAAAGGAAGGTAAGAAAAGAAAAAAGGCCTTAAAGTTGTCAAGCTGAAAACTACGTACTGTTTGTCACGGTGACCATTGTCACAGAAACAAAATGATGGGAAATCAGAATTTTACATTCATGATTGAAACAAGAAGTGAGGGTAAATCTTTCAATTAGATGTTTTCTGATGCAATCTCTCCTAGAAGAGATTTTCACTTTAAAGAGATTTTCTTTTATTATTGTATCTCCAGGACAGGAAGTGAAGAGAAATCTCCCCAACAGGCACAAACTGCTTACATTTCCAGGGGTATTACCTTGTCCTACTTTACCTAGAACTAAAAGGAAAAGTTCTGGCTATATATAGTTTGAAATACAGCAGATACGCTTTCAAATAAGCTCTCACTGACCTCTGTAACTGCAGACATCGTGGCATAATTCTTAGATATTGTGCTTGTTGTTGTTTCTTAAAGGCTTATAGCACCTGTTTACATACATTAGAAGGCTAACAAGTTACCAGTTACTTGTTCTAGTAGCAAGGGTAGAGGAGCTGTCATTTTTAATGTCTCTTTTGTAAACTTTGATGATCAACTGCTTCATGGTGCCTATAGCTACAGAGGTCAGTGAGGATTTGCTTTACTGATTACTAAAAATATCAATATTTGAATGTCTGTAACCTGCCACATTCACTATTTCAATGTGCATATTTTGAGTGAACTTTTTTGTGGCCATACAGTTTGCTGCTTCTTGTCTCTGGCTATTGTGTATTGCTATTAGAATCTTGCATTAGTGTTTGGTTGAACTTTCAGGTGATGCTGTCATTGAGGTGTCTGTGGATGGAGCATTGGGAAACCCAACTTCTGCGGAGGAGGTATCAGTAGTAGTAGCAGTGGATACTGAAAAAGAAAACCATGTCTTCTCACCTGCAGGTCGAGGACTCCCAGGTAGGACAGGTAAAGTGGATTTATTCTTACATATTCTTACATTACAAGAGAGTTGTAATTTTCAGCAAAATTTTTTAGATTCTGAAATGGTTAAACAAAAAACTGTTTGCTATAGTGACTCGTGCATACCCCCCCACCATTGAGGTCAGACATTTGTGTTGGACAGCTCTGATCGCCTAGTCATAAACTGCACAAGTGAACCTCTGTAATGCTAGGTTCACACCTTATGCAGTTTGTGTTTGATCCCCTTCTGCATTGCGTTTTGCACTTGTGTTTTTGCCGTATTTTTGATGCACTTTCTGTTTTTTTTTTTTTCTTGTTGCTAGGCAGATTTAAAACGCAAAACACGGCAAAAAATAACTACATGCTTTTCTGCAGTGTTTCCATTGAGGTCTATAAAACCAAAAGCGCAACTTTTTGCATTCAAAAAAGTCCCTGACCCTTTCCAAAAACCGCATCGGGTGAAAACGCGGAGATGTGAACGTGTCTCATAATAAATCACATTAAATGGACTATAGTGCATTTCTGCAAAATGCTGCGGAATATGCTTAGGTGTGAACCTAGGGTAAGGTGGAACTCCAGCTAAAAAAAAATTTCCCACCAGATAGTGGAAGGGTTTTTATTGCTGTCTGTGATAGAAAGTTTTCCACTCTATTCCACCAGCAGGTGAAATACAAACACATTTCAAGTGGAACTGTAAGCAAAAGATGAAAAAGGGCTGACCAGGTCAGCTTTCTTTTTTGCAGAAGAGGCATGCTGTGTCTCTTTTGCAGTTAAGGATTCCTTCCAGCCTGTTTGCAGTCTTCATGAAAGTACACTGTGTTATGCATGTGCCGCAGCTCATTGAACAATTTTGGTACATGCTGAATGAATGAACTTAGCATGCGTTGCATCCTAGTATGACCAATCAAGATGGCTGAAGATCCTTAATCAGGAAAAAGACTGGGAAAAGATGCTGATCCCGGCAGGGGCAACAGGGGAACATAGTCCTGCTTTAGGGCTGGCTCACACCACATGGCAGTCCAGTGCGTTTTTTTTTTTTTTTTCTGCATCAAAAACGCATGGAAATTCAGTTCTACGGTTTCAAATGGCTTAGTTCACACCAGTGCAGTCAGTTCCATATAAAAAAAAAAAGTAGAACATTCTGCATTTTTCTTGAACTGGGCTATACTGGAATGCAGTCAAAAGCATAAAAAATGTACTGGAACACACGTGTACATATTTAAGATAAAGAAAAAAAAGGGAAAAAAATGCACTGGATCACATAAAAAAAAAATGCACACACAGGAATGCATATGGACTCCATTTCTGTGATTTGAACTGCCCCTTAAAGCAGAACTTCACCATGAAGGTCTTGTTGTGTTGCCCTGCCTCCTCACCCTCTCTCTCTTACAAATGGGCATTTTATTTGTGCTGCACTTCTGTGTTTCTTGCCTAGGCAAGACTTTCTCCTTGCCCGCTGTGTGTGTGCAAATGTGCAGCAAGGCTTGGGTCCCAAGTACATCTGCACATGCACTGTTTTCTCCAGCCATCTGCACACATGCTGGGTTTCCTACCAGGGGAGTCTGAAACCTTCCACCTCTTCACACATGCATGTAAAAATCCCCTGTGCTTGCACAGATGTGTCGACTGGCTCTGCCAGGGTCTGAAGGCCAGGCAGAGCCCATGGGCACACCTGTGCATACACCTGAGGGTGGGTGGAGCCACATGGGAGGGGACTGAAGTTCTGCTTTAAGATGAAGGATGTTAGCGAGGCAAGAATCTGACTTTCAGTCTTTGCACCTGTTATCTAATGCCAGGCATGCAAATAAAAATGGACTAAAAGCAGTTTACCTTTTTATGTATTAGTCATCTGAAACCTTTTGTGTCTTTCTTGCCAGGCCATGCTTCTAAGTCTTTCCCAGCACCACCTTCCTTGACCTCTTCACCGGTCTCCAGCAGAGCCAAAATGTCCTTGACTGGAGCTGGTAAGATGCCGCACACACCACAGAGCCTGGCCATGAGATTGCTGAATATGAATCGAGAGGGAGCAAACAAAGTGCACCGTGCCAGAAAGACCATTCCACGGGCAGGCAACGTGAGTGTCAGGAGATCCAACAGAGCAGCTATTGCTTTAAAATTGTTCTCACTCTCTCTTTGTGTCCTTCTCAGACTACCAAAAAAACATGAGCCTTTTTATTACAGTACAGATACATTTTGTATGACATTTAACTGTTAAATATACAGGCAGTTTACCAAGTACAGGCAAACGGGCAGTGAGTTTGTAAAGGGGCCCCACCCAACTTACTGATACTACCTTTCCTACCGCTCCCTTGCCACTTCATCCTTTTGTTTCATACAGCAGTAAAATCCAAAATTAACTTGGTGTCAGAAGCTAATGTGAGTACTATTTTCACTTCGGTCATGTGACAGTGCTTGGGCCTCACACTAGGGAAAGTCCCATGCTTCCCCCATACCCAAAATCACTGAATATTGTTTCCAGCTGAGTTAGTGAAAGGAGCTGTGAGGGAGCGCTGAATAGGAAAGTATCAGTGGGTGGGGGGGGGGGGGGTAGCCTTGACAGAGACACTGTCACTTTTCCCTGAATGGTTAAGGTAATAGTGTCTCTTTAAATAAAGATTTTTTTTTTTTTTTTTTTTTTTTTCTCCTGTAAAGTCTTTTTTTTTAAGTCTTAAAAAAATACAAGAAAGTAGAGCTTGTTTACAACTTCATCAATGTTCAGCAGAATGGATAACTGAGAACGTGTTCAGGTAATGCGTGTGATCTAGACATGAGAAATAAGAGGGAGCATATTCACAGACGGTATGTAGAACAGGCAAGTTCTGAAGGAGGGAATACTTTGGACAAGTCCACCAGAACTGGTACCAAAATGTCCTGGTATATAACACATATGCAAAGAGACACACTTTGCAAACTTCTAGCCGAAGCCTCTTTGTAAATGTGTCTGGGGAGGACAGGCGGGTTCTGATTTTAGGTCCAGTAGTTAAAAAAAAAAAAGAAATTTCTGTGCGGGCTCTCGGTGCAACCAGTGCACCTAATGGAGTAATGTGGGCAACTACAGTACTGGGAAGTTTAGGAAGAGAAGAAAATGGTAGAGAAAAGAAAGGGAGAAGAGTAAATATGAGGGGGAAGGAAAGGGGAAGTGAACAAGGGGCAGAGAAGTGGCAACCCCCTACCTGCCTACTCCCAAACTGCTACCTTCAGCATGGGATCAATTAGCCACGAGAATTTGAGTATACCGAATACAGGAATCCAGAACAAGATTTTATTTTATACACAAAAGTCAAGTATAAAATATTCACTTTCTAAGAATCAGAATGAAAATGACCATAAACCATTATCAATTCTCTTTTAAATAGAGCTCCAAGCAAATGGCTAAATACATAGTTAAAGGCATTGCACACTTTTCAGACATTTTTATTGTTTTAACTAGGTATCAATGCAGTTTTTTTGTGTTGTCTCTTTGCCTTACCTTGTATTGATGGGCTGCAGCTTGTAGGGTCATGGCTGAAAAATCCCCTTGCGTCCATGTATTCATGCGCCTAGATTCTCCCTATTCGGTAAAGGGACTGGCAACTTCTTGTCCTGGGTCACGCAGCGTCAAATCTGTGCCTGAGCATTTCCTCTGTATTTAGCTTCATTTGAAGAGCGCTTGTGGGAGATATATATATATATATATATATATATATATATATATATATATAGATAGATATATAGATAGATATAATTTTTATTTTTTTTTTATATTTAACACAGTAAGTGTCTGTCTTCAGACTATAGTTAGAGTAAATGCACTAACCTGTTCAGTGCCAGGCCCCATGTTTGGGCACAAACAGAAACTTCTGATAGCAGAATGTGAAGTTTTACTCTACTATAGACTGTGTACATACAGGGCAACAAATGATAACATGCCTACATGATCAATACAAACGCAAAGTGCAGGTAGGAATGCCTTTAAAATGTATCAGAATGACATAGAATGATATCAAGCTAGAGCAGAAAATACTGTCAGCAGCCTAGCTGTGCAGTGTGGCAGAGATGTAAAAGTCACGAGTTGCTGAACAAAATTGCAGATAAACCGTTTACATTTATCTATTTGAATTGAGTGTTTATCTGTTTGCCTAAAATTTGGTTTTGCAAAAAGCTATTTTTTTTTTTCTGTCCTTGGGTTAAAGCCATGTGCTTTTGTTTCAGGTGCTGGGGGATGGAGGACATATGTCTGATGGAGAAAAGCAGATCCAAAAGAAAGACTCTGAGGGGCAGAAGAGGGATAGCCCAGGTATGAAGGATCAGTTTAACAGATCTGTAGGAGAGCCATGTATGACTGCAGCTCAGCTGTATGATGGCTTTATTTTTCTCCCTAGATTCTACACAGAAGAGAACCCAGAGCTCTGATACTCCAGCCAATAAATTCAAAGAAGCTGAGGTGAGAGCTGTGATAAATGTTGGAAGGTTGGTTTACTAGGAGAAATTGTCTGGTAACCTTGTGTACTTTTGAAACAAGCTTGCTTCTGTGGGATATTTCTCTGAGCTGCTACAGTGCAGTGATAAAGCTGCACATACATGTAAATGATAAACGCTTCTAAAGCGGAACCTGCCACAGCAAAATAAAACGTTTTGAACCCCCTGGAGCTTTCTGTTATGGTACGCACAGCATATTCGCATGTCACCGCAGACTAACCTTACACTTACAGGAGTTCCCTCTGTTGACAGCACTTTCATCTTCTCCCCCTTATTTTCCACATGTGGATGCTTCTGCCTCTTGATTGGCCAGGGAAGGAAGATTTAGCTCTCGTATACGCGTACGGGAGTTGCTGTGTCTCAACACACAACCCTGTTTTGTCAACACAGATAAAAAAAAATTAGCAACCTTTTAATGTGCGATGTCTGAAATCTGTGTCTATTAGATGCTGGGGATGTGGTACCAGTCCATGTATATGATTCTGTAGTCTGATAAAAGCTTTTAGGTTTTATGTGATCACAGATTTTCCCTGCTGGAGGCTTGAACATAAGAGAGGAAAAGCCCTGCCTCTACAAGATGGAAGCTAAACACACAGGCACAATGCTTAACAAGGCATGATAAGTTACAATTTGGGGAAATATGAGGCACATGGAGACCAAAGGCAATGCTTGTAATCAGTCTTTAGGGCTGCTCACTCATTTCAAAGGGCTGACCTACATGCAAAAATAGCAGCAGAGAAGCTCTTTTTGATCTTTTGTGCATTTTATGTGATCACAGATTTTCCCTACTGGAGGCTTGAGCATAAGAGAGGAAAAGCCCTGCCTCTACAAGATGGAAGCTAAACACACAGGCACAATGCTTAACAAGGCATGATAAGTTACAATTTGGGGAAATATGAGGCACACGGAGACCAAAGGCAATGCTTGTAATCAGTCTTTAGGGCTGCTCACTCATTTCAAAGGGCTGAGCTACATGCAAAAATAGCAGCAAAGAAGCTCTTTTTGATCTTTTGTGCATTTTTTGCGCATCTTGCTTGCTGCGTTTGGGGGGGCCATTAACAGCCAGTGATACTGCAAACACATGCGGTTTTTTGGGTTTTTTTTTACGTTCCTATGCTACACAAGAGTGAATACAGGCTTAATTACCAGTGTTTTCTGTATTTTGTTATTTATTAAGAATCCGTTGGCAGCTTCTGCTCCTGGATCATCCCGGGACCTGGATGGGGCAGAAGGTGAAGACTGGGAGGCAGATGTTGGCGCAGAATTCAGCCTGTTTTATGACAGCCTGTCAGTAGAGGAACAAGGGGACAGTGACAGCAAGGTAAGTGCAGTTAGAATTAAGAAATGGGAGGAGCACCCATTTCTAGCAGCAGACTTGACTCTTCTTGCTGTCCACAGGAAGACGAGGGAGGAGGAGGAGGAAGAGGATGGTTCTGGGAACCAGTCAGAAAGAGTAAGTAGTGATGTGATGTTACTGCTTCAGAATGATGTGATCTCTGCACCTTGGTATTCCCAGACTGATTTTAGCTCCACTATAATCCTTTCTGTGCAGAGTTCGAGCAGTCTGAAAAAGAAGAGTAAGAAAAAATGGAAGATGGACAAGGCCTGGCTCAAACCAACAAGGAAAAGGAAGAGGAGAGACCGAGAGAAACCTGGCCCAGGTGAGGACAGGAGCAAGCAGGGGGTTTGGGTTAGTTAAACACGGGGGATGGGGAAAACTGGTCAGGTGGGTTTAGTTTCAAATGTTTTATTAAAAGAGTTACTAGGGAAAGTATTAGTAACACAGCAGAGAAACCCTCTCCTACAGTGCTTGGATTTCTTTGGACTGAAATCTACCTTTGCAAAATGTTGTTTTTTGTTCTTTTTGGGGTTTTTTTGGTAAGACTATAGTCCTTCAAGCACTACAAACAGGACAGGTACCCTGTTTTACTAGTGGCTTGAGGGGGACAAATTTATATTCCTAACCTGATTACTTCCAATGATTCCCTCCCCCCCTTTTTTTTTTTTTTTTTTTTTTTTTTTTTGAACTCCAGGCAAACTACATGGCTACATATGCAATACACTTTAAATGTTTGTTATTCCACTCAAATTTGTGACCCACACACTCTTGCCTGCCAGTGCATCCAGTATTCTGGGTCTCTTTGCAGAATACACTGCAGTTCAAGGATAGGTTGACCTCTTGGAGCATGTTACATGTTCCACCTGTATTTAGGGTGGAACACGTAATATGCTCCAGCTGCTGCAGCCTCTCCTCCCCCTCCCTGTGACAGCAAGTAGGGATCTTCCCCTCGTGACCGCTGTCTCTTGTTAAAAATAACGCAGAGGTACGCTCCACCCACAAGGCCGCGTTATTTATTCACAGTTTCCTGTGAATTACTTCAGCTACAAGTATCGTGAGCCTTTGTGATTGATGGCTTGTAGTTCTGAATGGACTGCAAGGTTGCTGATGAGTGGCCTCCTAGTTCATTAACAAGCCCTGCAGTTTGTAAACCTATGCAGGTACGAGCTGAAAGCTTCAGGGCTTGTCTGCAGTAGTCTAGCATTGTGCCCCTGATCCACTGATCACGGGTGCAATGTTTTTCATGCTCCTTTAGGGAAAAAATAATAAAAGCCTTTTTTTTGTTTTTTTTTTTTTTTCCCCCCTGCAAAAATATGTGTATTTATTTTTCCCCAAATGGTGCACTTATCTCTTTTAAGCATTGCCTACTGATTAGACAGTGAAGGAGCCACAGCACATTGATTCGGTCATTTCTGTACTAATCTCTCCTGTAAAGCTTGTTAATGCTGTAGTTGACATTGCTGGTTGACCACCTCAGCTCTGTGCCTGTGTGCTTTGTGAAGGGAGATAAATCCCTTCCCTCCAATCAGCTCTCAGAGCTCTCCTCACTGAGCTCTGCAGAGTGTAACTTCAGCTCTCTGCCCCCACCCCCCCCCCCTTTTTTTTTTTTTTTCCCCTGACAGCTCAGAAAAGCTGTATACATTTGAACAGATGTAGAGAAGATAGAGCTGCAGATAAACAGGTACAACTTATGTAGGAGAATTTGTTTCATCTCTTGTGTATCACTTGGGGATAGTCACTTCACTGGATATATAGAAGGGTTTACAACCATTTTAAGGCTTAAGGTGCAGGAAGTTCCCTGTATTCAAGACTAAACATTTTTTAGGGCACTGTTTATAGACAAATAACATTTATTTGTGGGGGTACAATCAGTGACTTGTTAAATACATGCCATGATTAAATTGAGGTTGTTTTTTGTTTTTTTTTTTTTTTTTGTTTGTTTTTTTTGCCTGGAGTTCAGGTTTAGGTTTTACAAAAGTAAGTAATGTGAGAGGTCAAAGAGCTAGAGGTGACTGTTACTGATTTACAAAAATATCTGAATAGTTTTTTAATCTGAGGGGGCCCAATACATCAGAACTTTTATACAGGAAAGGGTTGTGACTAATATAAACAAGGTTCAGAAAGTCATTGTGTGTTTGTGGAACGGAAGGGCCAGCAGAAATACAGAGATACTGGGTTAGTGGTTTTAATGGTTCTCCACCAGGCTGCAGAATTCTTTTTTTTCTTACACTTGTCTCTTAGAACATTTGCAAGCTTGTCCTTCACAGCCTTCCCCATGGTGGTTGTTGACAGAGCCCTCAGAGCTGTTTTGTGATTGGCTGGCTAAGCTGACTGTCAGCTGGAACATGCCGTTACAGAACGGGAAGGAGGTAGTTTCTGGCTGCTGTGCTGTGGAAGTAGGTGCCAAGGATGACTTTGAAGAAAAGTTTTTTTTCTTTTAAGGGTCCACTTGGCTGTATTGAAGACCTGCAGCAGGGTGAAGCTCCTTATAAGTTGGTTGGGGGTAGGAACAGGTTTTTGAGGGCAGTAGGGAAAAGCAGTTGTTTCCATCCTAGTCACAGATCTACCGCCCTACTTGTTGCCCCGCTCTTTTAGCTGTCCCTTCCATTGGGGGATCACAAAGTGAGTACACAGAGGTGCCTCTGGGATCCTTGGATCTGCCCAGCGAGGGGGCTTTGTCTCCCAACCATACAGGTAAATTTTTTTTTACCCAGTCACCTAACATTCACTTGCTGCTGTGCATGTCAGTGCTACATCTTCACTTATATCCCCCCACCTTGCCCCAAAGCTTGCATCAATCCCTGGAATCTCCTCCCCACTGTTCCGGTGGCTGTTGCTGAACTTTTTTCATTATGCCTTATGTGCATTGCATGGTTCTGTATGCACTAGGTTGATCTAGGTGTCCTCTCTCAGGTGTGTGCAACGAATCGAGCTCCATGGACACTGAGCGTTTCGAGGAACTGCCTTTGTGCAGCTGCCGTATGGAAGCTCCCAGTGTGGAGAGGGTGTGCGAGCAGGCCAATAATATGTGTATGGCTACTGAGAGCGTAGATGGAGAGGTAAGGCCACCTGTGTAATGTACCAGGAGAGGGTAAACGGGGTAACTGTGTATGTGTATGGCTTTCTTTTTACACTGCTCAAATAAATTAAAGGAAAACTTTGAGAACATAGCAGATCTCGATGGGAAAAAATCTCATACTGGATATCTATACTGATACGGACTGGGTAATGTGTTAGGAACATAAGGGTGCCCCATCGTTTGATGGAAATAATTAACCTACAGACGACTGCACCAGCATAGGGTCTGACAATGGGTCCATGGATTTCATCCCGATACCTAGTGGCAGTCAGGGTGCCATTGTCTAGCCTGTAGAGGTCTGTGTGTCCCTCCATGGATATGCCTCCCCAGACCATCACTGACCCACCACCAAAACGGTCATGCTGAATGATGTTACAGGCAGCATAACATTCTCCACGGCTTCTCCAGACCCTTTCACGTCTGTCACATGTGCTCAGGGGGAACCTGCTCTCATTTGTGAAAAGCACAGGGTGCCAATAGCAGACCTACCAATTCTGGTGTTCGATGGCAAATGCCAATCGAGCTCTTTGGTGTCAGGCAGTGAGCACAGGGCCCACTAGAGGATGTCAGCCCTCAGGCCACCCTCATGAAATCTGTTTCTGATTGTTTGGTCAGAGACATTCACACCAGTGGCTTGCTGGAGGTAATTTTGTAGGTCTCTGGCAGTGCTCATCCTTTTCCTCCTTGCACAAAGGAGCAAATACTGGTCCTTCTGATGGGTTAAGGACCTTCTATGGCCCTGTCCAGCTCTCCTAGAGTAACTACCTGTCTCCTCCATGCTCTTGAGACTGTGCTGGGAAACCTGGCAATGACACGTATTGATGTGACATCCTGGAGGAGTTGGACTGCCTGTGCAACCTCTGTATGGTCCAATTATCGCCTCATGGTACCAGTAGTAACACTGACCCTAGCCAAATTAGTGAAAAACAGTCAGAAAAGATGAGTAGAGAAAAAAAATGTCAGTGGTCTCCACCTGTAAAACCATTTTTGTTTTGGGGGTCGTCTCATTGTTGCCCATCTAGTGCACCTGTTGTTAATTTCATTAACACCAAAGCAGCTGAAAGTGATTAACAATCGCCTCTGCTACTTAACTGACCAGATCAATATCCCAGGAGTTTAATTGACTTGATGCTATACTCTGATTAAAAAGCTTCCTTTAATTTTTTTTGAGCAGTGTAGTATAGGAATTTGTAAGCAAACACTATTCAGGCCAGCAGAGGGAGGTTGAAGCAAACAAATCAGATGATCTCTTTAACTTTTGTCTTCATATCTGCATTTCTCTAGCTGAGCGGTTGCAATGCTCCCATTACTAAACGGGAGACAATGCGTCCATCAAGTAGGGTCCCTCTTATGGTGCTCTGTGAAAACCACCGCGCTCGCATGGTCAAACATCACTGCTGCCCAGGCTGTGGCTATTTCTGCACCAGTGTAAGTACCCAGGGACGTATGTGGCCACCTCTGCCAGGGGTGTCTGGAGTGTACAACACATCCTCACATCTTTATCTTCTGCAGGGAACGTTCTTGGAGTGTCATCCTGATTTCAGGATAAATCATCGCTTTCACAGGGCCTGTGTCTCTCCCCTGAATGGAATTATCTTCTGTCCACACTGTGGAGAAGATGCCACAGAAGCAGAACAAATTACCATTGCAAAGGCGGATACACCAATTCCAGTACCTGCACCACCCCACCACGATGGCAGTGCCCCTGGAAGGGCTGACACCACACAGCCCAGGTGAGGATAGATTTCTCTGCATACGATTATGCATTTTCTCAGACCTCTTCTTAGTGCTGACATTTTTCCATTCTTTCAGCATGTAAGTGGGCAGGGCTTCAATGTAGTTGCCATGATGTAGCTTCTGTTAATCAAAGCAAAGTGTGTGTGTATATGTATGTGTGTGTGTGTGTATATGTATATGTGTGTGTGTATGTATAATATATATATATATATATATGAGAGAGATCTAGCTCATTCATTCACAGTACTGGGAACTAGATGTCAGTTATTGATGAAGATGGATTTGATTTCTCTGGTTATTTCACTATTCATGGACCTCTTGCCATTTAGAGAACGCCAAAGCTGGTTATTGATCAACTTTATTCTTCTAAAAGATCAGATATAATCTATATGTAAGTGTAGGTACACTAAAATGCAGCAGCCTGCTGTGAAATCTTTCCCTGGATGAATAGGCAGCTTGTCATGTTTAAAAGTTGTAGCATTTAATACTAACGAATGGAACATGTAACATTGTTCCCAAAGGTGGAATTACCAAAGAAAAGCATCAAATCCATTTTTATAATTACAGGCAGTTTTAGGATACTAAATTGTAGATTCTGCTACTCCTACCAGTTAAGCAAATTTTTTTTATTTTAAGCTTTGAAATCAATCTACTTTGATGGACTTTCTGCTTTTAGTGCCCGGATGAGTGGCATGGGGGATGGAAAACGTTCAATTTTAGAGGACCGTCCTGAAATCAATGGGGAGACTCTAGGGCCTTCTATCGTCCTTCCATCAGGAGTGTCTCTCAGTGCCATTGGTTTGCCACCTGGTCCTGCACGTGAAGCACTGCAGAAAGCTTTGGCTTCCCAAGAGACTGACAAGTATGAGATAAGCATTTTTGTCTTTGCATACCCACCCTTCCTTCCTTTTTTTTCCTTCCTTCCTTTTTTTCCTTTCCCTCCTTTTTTTTTTTCTTTTTTCCCCTTCCTTCCACACCTATTGTTTGTTTTTTTCTTTCAATTTTACCTATTTACATTTTGTTTTGTGTTCCTGATAATAGGAGTAATAACTGCCTTTTCTCTTCAGTTTAGCTCAGCAAAAGAGGGATCGCAGGAAGAAGATCCGCTACAACTCTCGGCAGCTCTACCTGAGTGTGAAGGCTGGCGAGCTCCAGAAAGTGCTGCTTATGCTAAGTGAGTAACTATAGATTTAATGCGGAATTAAACGACTTAATACTCACCTTTCCAATGGCCCCTTGTCAGCATTTTCTCCTGTAATTAGGTGTGTTCATTGGCTGGCGTGGGATGACATCACTTCTGCGTATGCGCAGGAGGCCATCATTCTAACACACAGACTTGTCTGGCTCTTTAAGCTGAGCTGCATTGGAGAAGACCGCAAGCAGGCAGCTAGTTGCATTTTATTGAAGAAGAGATATTGCATGTCTCTTCTGTGATAAAAAGCCTACCTGTGTGCTGCTTATTACAGCAGAACTTCAGTTGCACTTGAACAACCTTTTTTTTTTTTTTTTTTTTTTTTTTTTCTTCAGTGTTTGGCATGGAAAATAGATTTTTTTATCTTTCCGTGTTTTATACTCCTATAAAGTGGCAGATATTAATTGTTTTGACTATAGGCCAGCTCCTCTTGTTTGTTGGGTGCTTTGAGTCATCTGTCAGTTTCTGCTATTCCAGGAATCCATTGGTGAGATTTTCTCTGTGTTTTGGGTCTTCACATGTTCCCAACACCTGTAATAAAGCTGTGCCTTAAAGCTGCACTTCCAAGTCATTTTTCTTTTTTTTTTTGTTCACTGAGTATGATAGGATTCAGGTAGGTAATGTTTCTGCTGGCAGTTGGAACCCAACCCCCAGGAATTCATTTTTTTAATTGAAAACTCAGGATCATTGTAGAACCCCTGAATTAACCCTTTTGCTAGGCAGGAAGGGGTCAACAGGAGGGGCGATCAAAGGGTTAAATGTGTGCAGGAAGTGTTTTACTAGGGGGTGGGGGGGTGTGTTTCACTGTAATCACACTGCTCTGGATGGCTGTGCACAGCAGTGTGCCTGAGCTGACAGGCAGGAGAACTGTAAACAAAACAGTCCTCCTCCCCATCGGTGATCGTCGGAAATCACCAGGCGCTGGCGAGTAATTACCGGCAAGGACCCAGTGATTGATGCCCATGAATGGTAGCGCGGGTAGGGCGCTTGCGCACCCCCTACCCGGAAATGCGAAATCACGTGATTTTGTGCACGCGTGCCGCCCTGTAGCAGTCGGGAGGTGGTTAAAGAAATTTTTTGTGGCTGTTCGTAATCACTTCTGGATCCAGTTTGGTGATATTACTGGCACTGGTTCTTAAGGCAATTTAAAAAAATAAGTGAATTTATACACATCTGTCCCCCTGCCCGTTCCTTCTTTCTCTTGCCAAGCTATGGCCTCCAGCAGAATCCCCACATGTGAATTAGTCAAATGCCTGGTTCCCTGTCACTGGGTGTGGGGGTTTATTTACTAAAACTGAAAAGTAGAAAATCTGGTGCAACTCTGCATGGAAACCAATTCGCTTTCAGGTTTTTTTGCCAAAGCCTAATTGAACATGCTGAAATCAAAAGCTGATTGGCTACTATGCACAGCTGCACCAGGTTCTGAGTTCATCAGTTTTAGTAAATCTCCACCACTGTGATTCTGTTCACCTGCCCCTACATCATTACAGCACTAAGTCTTGATGTAAGGGCCAGCTGATGGAACTACACAGCCAGGGACGGGGGACTCGGGAACTGACACCCCCAGAAGTGTCAGATGTCGACCACCCCCTCCTCCTCCTTAACAAACTACACTCCCTCGGCATCAGAGACTCCGCTCTCTCCTGGCTCTCCTCCTATCTATCCCAATGCTCCTTCAGCGTTACCTATAACGCTACCACCTCCCCCTCACTCCCCCTCTCTGTTGGGGTCCCCCAAGGCTCAGTCCTTGGGCCACTTCTCTTCTCCATTTACACCTCCTCCCTCGGCAAACAGATACACTCCCACGGCTTCAACTATCACCTCTACGCCGATGACATGCAAATTTATCTCTCCACCCCTCACCTCACCCCTTCAGTCCTTGTCCGTATCACCCATCTACTGAACGACATATCAGACTGGATGTCGCTCCATTTCCTCAAATTGAACCTTTCCAAAACCGAGCTCCTGATTTTCCCGCCAGCCCGTGCCCCCCCCCCCCCCCCCTCTCCATCACGACCAACTACGCCACCATCAGTCCCACCCCACAAGCCAAAGTCCTAGGTGTCACTCTAGACTCAAACCTGTCCTTCCAACCCCATGTCCAATCATTGGCAAACTCATGCAGGCTCCACCTCCGCAACATCTCCAAAATACGTTCGTTCCTAACCTCAGACACTACTAAACAACTCATTCACTCCCTCATTATCTCACGTCTGGACTACTGCAACTCCCTTCTCACTGGCCTATCTCATCACAGACTATCCCCGCTTCAGTCTATCCTGAATTCTGCGTCCAGACTCATCCACCTTACCAACCGCTCCGCTTCTGCCACCCCTCTGTCATTCCCTCCACTGGCTCCCGATTGCCCAACGCATTCAATTCAAACTACTAACAGACATACAAAGCCATTCATAACGCTGCCCCAAAATACCTCACCGACCTGATACCCAAATACCACCCTACCCGTAATCTTCGCTCCTCACAAGACCTCCTACTTTCTAGCTCCCTGGTCTCCACCTCCCACGCCTGACTGCAGGACTTCTTCTTCAGGACTTCCCCCATCCTCTGGAACTCACTACCCCAATCCATCAGACTGTCACCTACCCTCCTCACCTTTAGGCGCACACTGAAAACCCATCTCTTCAGGGAAGCCTACCCCACCCTCACCTAACAGCCGATCTCCTCCACTCCTCCTACCACTCCATCCCCCACAGCCACTTCCTCCTGTACCACTATCCCCTCCCTCCTAGATTGTAAGCTCGTAAGAGCAGGGCCCTCGAACCCCTCGTGTTTTGCCTTGTTCCTGTATTGTCTCATGTTCTGTCCCCCAGTATAATGTGCAGCGCTGAGCAAACCTTTTAGTGCTATATAAATACTGTATAATAATAATATTTGGAGAGGCCTCAACTCTTCAAGGGAGCCAGTATTGGAAACGTGGTTGACAGGTGAGTATAAACGTGCTTCTTTAGCAGGTGGTGCGTCTTTAAATCTTTGTCAGAGTTGCTGTAATACGTTTCAGCCCCAAAGCCAGTATATGATATCAATAGCATCTATTCTTCCCATCTCCTCACTGGAGCACAGGCATTTGAATTCGCCTGTTTTATACATCAGTCACTGTAGCTCAAATTAAAAAGAAATGTATACTTTCATTATAGATGTTTCAGTTATTGGAGGTATGATTTTTTTCAAACTCCCTTAAGAAAGATGATAGTTTTAATCTGATCTGCTGGCTGTTTACAACTCCAGTAACTGTAAAAACAAAAAAAAAGTAACTTCTTTGTCCTTACTCTTTCCCTTCTCTGATGATTTGTCTCAGTGGATAACCAGGATTCCAGTTTCCTTAATGACCAGCAGTTGAAGAGGAGTCCACTGCATGCTGCAGCAACGAGAGGAAGTCTGGAGCTCTGCCATGTACTTGTGCAGGTGACTTTTCTTCCATCTTTTTCTGACCGTCAGATATGCTCTGCTGCATTTACATTTTGTGTCTTTCATATGCTTTGCTCTTCTGTCAGGCTGGTGCCAGTATAAACGCCACTGACAAAGTCCTGCGCACCCCTCTTCTTGAAGCTGTCGTGAACAATCATACAGAGGTTGCCAAATATCTATCTCAGCGTGGAGCATGTGTATACCACCAGGTAATGCCACTGGCTCACCACTTGCTCATCTCATCCTTTACTTTCTAGCTAGAGATCTCTTCCCTAGTCCTTCTAGTTTACAGTTTAATTAGTGGTATCCTGATCAAAACTGTTCTAGAACAATAATAATGACAACAGTATTAAAAATGTGTGTAATCCTGAAGGGTTAACGTCTCTCATTTGGTGCTCTGTTAACTCTGAAAGCCAGATACCATGTAAGCAGGTAATGTCCTCTGCTCTTTGCGTATGCTACACTCTTATCAGTTACAATTTCCCAGCAATCTTTGAGGACTACAGAACTCCACTCTCTGTTATAGGTGAGGGGACAATTATTGTAGCTCTGTTCCAGGGTGAAAACACACTTCTCCACAAAAGTACTATGATGAGTGAGTGGTTTCCTCCATGGACAGGGAGTGTTATTGGCAGGATCCCCAGGTGAAAGTAAAAGAAAAGTCTAAAAATCTTCAATATGACATTTGTCTTCCAAAAGTCATAAACGATGTTTCTGGTCAACCACTGATTACATGAATTCTTTCTTTCATAAGCTGACACTCACCTGTTGAACGATTGATTAAAGTGATACTAAAGTTTACTAAAGGAACTGAGTTAAGCAGTGCCCATTCAAATACAGACAGGGCTAGGGGCACAGAACCGGAAAGAGAGGGGGAATACTCAGGAGAGCCATGCTGTTTTGCAGTCAGGGCTGGATGCACTTGTAAAAAAGTTGATAAGGTGAAGCTCGAGTTGGGTTTCAAATGGGCCCTGATAAGGCAGAGAGGGCAGGTATCACCAGTGAGGTAGTATTTACTTTTAGTCTGAAGAACAGGCAGGGGGTAAATTAAATTCTCAAGAGTCCTGGGAATTTCTGGGTCTGGATAGTAATGCCACCCTCCTTTTGTAACCATATAGAATGGCAAAGATGAGATGATCAGGAGGGCATGTGCATAAATATTTTGGCAGAGAATTTCCTTTTTGTGTGTATTTACTTGTTTTTGTAGAACTGCCTTTTAACCTATTGACCTCTTTCAGGAAGAAGATGGCTCAACTTGTCTTCATCATTCAGCCAAGAGTGGAAATCTGGAATTGTTGAGCTTTCTGCTGGCTACAGGCCAAGTCAATGTCAATGCCCAGGTGAGAGCACAGCCATTATAAGCTTTTGGCTTTTAAACTCCTCATCAAAACCTTTCAAATTACCTGTCTGTGGTCTGTTTAGGATAATGGTGGTTGGACACCTATCATCTGGGCAGCAGAACACAAGCACATCGATGTCATTCGTACATTGCTGACTCGGGGGGCAGATGTTACACTGCAGGACAATGTGAGTATATGCCTTACTCTTAGGATCTGTGGTATTTGGGGTTTTTTTGTTTCCAGAATCATGGTTCAGAATTGATTTATCCTTTCCTGTGTAATAATCCTCTTATTTTTGGAATAAGAAATGGAATGAGACATATGCATACATAGTTACATAGTCTGGCTGAAAAAAGACAAAGGTCTATCCAGTTCAACCATTAAAAAAAAAGTTATAATCCTATACCCACAGTTGATCCAGAGGAAGGCAAAAAAAATCCAGCAAAGCATAATCCAGTTTGCTCCTACAGGGAAAAAAATTGCTTCCTGATTCCCCGAGAGGCAATCGGATATTCCCTGGATCAACTTTACCCCTAAATGTTAGTATCCAGTTATATTCTGTGTATCCAAGAAAGAATCCAGGACTTTTTTAAAGCAATCCACTGAGCTGACCAGAGCCAACTCTTGAGGGAGTCTATTCCACATTTTCACAGCTCTTACTGTGAAGAAACCTTTCCATGTTTTGGAGATTAAATTTCTTTTCCTCCAGACATAAAGAGTGCCTCCTTGTCCTTGTCCTCTGTGATGACCTCAGGGTGAATAGCTCTACACCGAGTTCACTATATGAACCACTGATGTATTTATACATGGAGATCATATCCCCCCCCTATGTTTTTTACATGGAGATCATATCCCCCCTTATGTATTATACATGGAGATCATATCCCCCCTTATGTATTATACATGGAGATCATATCCCCCCTTATGTATTATACATGGAGATCATATCCCCCCTTATGTATTATACATGGAGATCATATCCCCCTTAATCTCCTCTTCTCAAGAGAGAATAAATTCAGTTCCTCTAATCTTTCCTCATAGCTGAGCTCCTCCATGCCTCGTATCCGTTTAGTTGCCCTTCTCTGTACTTTCTCCAGTTCCCCAATGTTTTTTTGTGAATTGGTGCCCAAAACTGAACTGCATATTCCAGATGAGGTCTTACTAATGATTTGTACCAGGGGAAATGATATCTCTCTCTGGAGTCTATACCTCTTTTAATACAAGAGAGGATTTTGCTTGCTTTAGAAGCTGCAGCTTGGCATAACATCCTGTTTTAAAGAAGACTTTCTCCAGCAATCTTCCTGGACAACAAACCTGAGAGACAATTGGCTCTTCCCGAACAGGAACACAATCCAACAAGTAGTGGAAAAAACCCATCCACCCGCTTGTTCCTCAGTTTATATTAATATTATTATACAGGATTTATATGATGCCAACAGTTTGCGCAGCACTTTACAATCTAAAGGGAAGACAGTACAGTTACAATACAATATAATATAAGAGAGCTAAGAGGGCCCTGCTTACAATCTAATAAGGTGGAGCAAGTGGTACAAAAGGTTATATAACTGTGGGGGATGAGCTGATGGAAGTGATAAAAGTCCAGGTAGTTGGAGGCATGACAAGCTTCTCTGAAGAGAGAAGTTTTCAGGGATCATTTAAAGGCAGCCAGAGTAGGAGATAGCCAGACAGACTGAGGTAGAGCGTTCCAGAGGATGAGAGAGACTCTGAAGAAGTCCTGGAGATGAGTATGGAAGAAAGAGACCGAACTTGAGAGCAGGAGGTCTTGGGAGAATCGGAGAGGACAGCTTGGGTGATACAGATTGTGTTTCCTACTGGCAGGCAGCGCAGTGTTTGTTGTATTTTCCCCTGACTGGATGGCCGTTGAGTTGGAATGTCTTTCTGAGTGGATCTGCGAAGCTAAGTGGGCTGTACTGTGCTTTACACACATTCCGTTGGGAGCTTTTTTGAGTTCTTTAGTCCCTTCCCACCATAACCTATGCAGTATACTATTACCGTGTGATAATTACATTTACTGTAAGAATAAGCAGAAATACCAAGTGAAATAAACCCAGACATTTTTTTTACTGGATGTTTTATACCAAAAAAGCGCAACAAATAAAAAATGCAGAAGCAAATACCACCAAAAGCTCCATTTCTGGGGAAAAAAATGACACAAATTTCATTTGGGTACAGCGTTGCATGACCGTGCAATTGTTAAAATAATGCAGCGCCGTGTCGCAAAAAATGGCCTGGTCAGGAAGGGGGGTAAATCCTCTGGAGGGCAAGTGGTTAAAGCCAGTCTGGAAAGCGGCTTATGCATGCCTTTCCTTACTCCCCTGCCGCTCCTTAGTGGAGCTTATACAGCATGTAGGGCTCTCTCTCTGTCCCCTGAGAAAGTGATGGGCCAATCACCAAACACCAGCGCAGTCACACAAGAAAAAAGTCAGCTGCCCACCTTTTACTCAAAATATACCCAAATATACCGGGCATGTTTGCCTGCTCCCAGCGGTAATGTAAGCAGTTGTGGAGCAAAGGGAATGTAAATATAGGCGACCGTAGGGACTAGTCATACGTTGAACCTTTTCCTTTGCTCTTAACCACTTCCCGCCCACTTGATGTCATATGACATTGTGAACTTTGAGTGGAGATATCTGGATGCTGCTTGAAGCTACAAGCATTGTCCAGATATCATATTTTTTTTTTTTTTTTTTTTTTAGCCAGCAGTTCCCTGCAATGCAAAAGTGATCCTAGCGGCTCAATAGCTGATGGATTCCCTTTTACAGGTGGCAGAAGGGAACGTTCCACCCCCCCACCCCCCCTCCGTCCAATGGCACTTCTCTATGCTCTCCCATGCAATTGGGGAGCTGGAGATCCGATCTGACGGCGGTGGTTTACCATAGACCTGGCTGTGGACCAGATGATTCCTGGGAGGCCACTTTCGACACTGGAAGATGTAAACAATGACATTTTTTTTTGCTCGAAAGCTTGAGATCAATTTTATTTTTTTATTTCCTGCTTTCCAGCATAGAAGAGAGATGTGTGGGGTCTTATAGACCACAGATCTCTCCATAAAGAGGAACTATCATGCCTTATTCCTATTACAAGGGATCTTTAAATTTCTTGAATTAGGAATAAAAGTGATTAAAAAAAAAATAAAGAAACAATGTAAAATAATATGATTATTAATAATAACGATTTTAAAGCGCACCCATCCCCTAGATATGTAGGTTGTGCCCGTATATGTAAATTGCGTTCGAACCACACATATTAGTTATCACTGCAAACGTTATAGCGAGAGAATTCTAGCGCTAGACCTCCTCTGTAACTCTAAACTGGAACCCTCTAAAAAATATTTTGAGGCATCACCTATGGAGATTTTCAAGTAACATACACTGCTCAAAAAAATTAAAGGAACACTTTGAAAACACATGAGATCTCAATGGGGAAAAATATGCTGGATATCTATACTGATATGGACTGGGTAATGTGTTAGGAATGTAATGATGCCCCATCATTTGATCGAAATGAAAATTATCAACCTACAGAGGACTGAATTTAAAGACACCCCGAAAATCAAAGTGAAAAAATGATGCAGCAGGCTAGTCCATTTTGCTGAGATTTCATTGCAACAACTCCGAATGGTACTCAGTTTGTGTGGCCCCCATGTGCTTGTATGCATGCCTGACAACGTTGGGACAGGATCCTAATGAGACGGCGGATGGTGTCCTGGGGTATTTCCTCCCATATCTGGACTAGGGCATCGCTGAGCTCCTTGACAGTCTGAGGTGCAACCTGGCGTCGTCGGATGGACTGAAACATGATATCCCAGAGGTGTTCTATTGGATTTAGGTCAGATGACCATGGGGGCCATTCAATGGTATCAATTCCTTCATCCTCCAGAAACTGCTTGAGTATTCTCACCAAATGAGACTGGACATTATCGTGCACCAGGAGGAACCCAGGACCCACTGCACCAATGAAGGGTCTGACAATGGGTCCAAGGATTTCATCCCGATACCTAACGGCAGTCTGGGTTCCACTATCTAGCCTGTAGAGGTCTGTGCATCCTTCCATGGATATGCCTACCCAGACTATCACTGACCCACCACCAAAATAATCATGCTGAACGATGTTACAGGCAGCAAAACGTTCTCCATGGCTTCTCCAGACCCTTTCACGTCTGTCACATGTGCTCATGGTGAACCTGCCCTCATCTGTGAAAAACACAGGGCGCCATTGGCGGACTTGCCAATTCTGGTGTTCAATGGCAAATGAAATAAAAGAATCTGAATAGATCTCTAGCTATGTGTGATTATCCTAAAATCGGTTCTGTTCTCGCTGTTTTACTAACCTGACCGCTTATTATTTTAAAACGGAAACCTTCATTTGGTTTGCAAATATTAAAGATTCTATCAGCAAGAATGAGTTGGATTCCTTACATTTAAAGAGCACCTGTCATTTTAGATCCATCATGGCAGCGCCTGTTAGCGAACATCCACTCCCCTGCTGCTGCCACATCCCTCATCTTGTATCACTACCACATCACCAGCTGTCCGATTTAAAGTGAATGGGACTGTCGGTGAGTCAACAGCGGGTCGGAGAAGGAGATCCTGCGGGACAGAGATGACAATTGCTCTTTAAAAATTTTTTCAGTCGAGCCTTTTCACTAGTGATTTAAATCAAATCCACCCTGACCTACCAGATCAATATCCCAGGAGTTTAATTGACTTGATGCTATACTTTAATTAAAAAGTGTTCCTTTTAATTTTTTGAGCAGTGTAGTTTAGCGCCATTTTACGACTGTGTGCAATTTTAAAGCGTGACACGTTTGGTATCTATTTGCTCGGTGCAACATCATGTTTTTTATATTTTAACAAAAAATTGGGTTATATATTTTTTAGTTTTGTTTATTCATTAAAGTGTATTTTTTCCAAAGAAATTAAGTTTAAAAAATTGCTGTGCAAATACCATGTGACATAAAAAAAAATTGCAACGTCCGCCATTTTATTCTCCAGGTTCTCTGTTAAAAAATATATATATATAATGCTTGGGGGTTCTGAGTAAATTTTTTAGCAAATAAATGAGGATTTTTACATAGAGAAATGCCAGAATTGGCCTGGGCGGAAAGTAGTTAAAATGCTAAATACAGGTTCATTCTAAGGGACATTAGTGGTGCTAATAGAAAATGTTTACTTACTGAAAATTATACAATGATATCCTTTAATGGCAAGCTTTGTTTGTGTAAGGGGTGGAAACATTACTCTGTATCTGTGCACTACACTACACAGTTCAACAGCAATAAAAGATGTTTCAGGACAACTTCTGTAATGTATTTCATCTCTTACTCAGGAGAAGAACATCTGCCTGCACTGGGCATCCTTTACCGGCAGTGCCGAAATTGCAGAGGTTCTCCTCAATGCACAGTGTGACCTACACGCCGTTAACTTCCATGGAGACACGCCCTTGCATATTGCAGCCCGGGAGGGCTTCATCCAGTGTGTCAAGTGAGTACCCAACTTTGTTGCCAAGATACTCCTTTTGACAACCAGTATGCCAAAAAGAAAAAAGGCAAGCAGTTTGTGAAATTGTAAAAATGCACAGCATGTTTCCAAACATTCCATTTTTTTTCTAGCTAATGATGCCCCTTTCAAACCTGCTTCTGAAGCAGCCGCTATATACTATATTTTTCGCTCCGTAAGATGCACCTAGGTTTTAGAGGAGGAAAACAAGAGAAAAAAAATATTCTGAGCCAAATGGTGTACTACAATATTTAAAAAAATATAACTGATTAATATTTCAACCATGTAAAGTGAACAGCAGTCAACAATGTCATTAAGAACCATCATCACTGCCATTAACAAATGAGGAGAGACTTAAAGGTCTTCCTGATTACTGGGCACCCCCCCCCCCTCATAAAGTCCCTACAGTGCCCTGTTACATCCCCCCCGAATAACAAATGATCTGCAGAGGCACCATACATCCAGGTACATAGTACAAAAAGAACTACAGCTCCCAGCATCTGCACTGGCATCTTACTTTACAGAAGGCTGCAGGCTAGAGGAGGCAGGGGGCGCAGTACCTGCGGTGACATGCGAGGAGTGGGAGGACCTCCGGGGACAGGCGGCACAGCAGAGTGGAATGGGACCAGACCTTACTGTAAAGCAGACCACGGGCCAGGGGAGGGGGGAGCAATGCCCTGCAGTGACATGCCCGCTAGGGGGAAGAACTCTGAGGACAGGTCGCACCTGCAAACCGGAGTGGGGTCGGGCCGGACTTCACTGTAGAGCAGGCTGAGGGTTCGGAGAGGGGAGTGCACTGCCTGGCAGTGACTTCCTGGGAGGATAAGGAGCAACGGAGAGAGTCCGGGGACAGGCTGCACGCTGCAGTGGGATGGGACAGCCCGCGGCGAGAGGGAGCTCCACTTAAGAGTCGAGCGCTGGTTCTAAGTCCTAACACGGCGGTGGGGAGGGGGGGGCATCTCTGGTCAATATTCGCTCCATAAGACGCGCAGACATTTTTCCCCATGTTTTGGGGTGAAAAAAGTGGGTCTTATGGAGTGAAAAATACTGTATTCTATTGCTTCTTTGCAAGTGTGGTGCTTGCGCTAAACTATGGATCTTCAAAGTAGTAGACCTACAGTTGTGTTCAAAATAATAGTAGTGTGTTGAAAAAAATGAATAAAGCTCAAAATCCTTCTAATAGCTTTTATTTCCATCCACACAAATGCATTGGGAACACTACACATTCTATTCCAAATCAAAACATGAAGAAAAATATATCAAATTTGTGTGTTCCTCTAAAAAAAAATTGAAGAAAAGTGAATATTAGACGGTTCAAAAAATTGCAGTGTTTGAAGATTTTGCTTTCCTTTGAATCAATTAATGAATATTTAGTTGTATAAGCACTGTTTCTGAGAACTGCTGTACATCTGTGTTGCATGGAGTCAACCAACTTCTGGCACCTGTGAACAGGTATTCCAGCCCAGGATGATTGGACTACATTCCACAGTTCTTCTTTATTTCTTGGTTTTGCATTTTTGATGTCACCCCACAAGTTTTCTATTGGATTAAGATCCGGGGATTGGGCTGGCCACTCCATAACGTCGATCTTGTTGGTCTGGAACCAAGATGTTGCATGTTTACTGGTGTGTTTGAGGTTGATGCCTTGTTGGAACACCCATTTCAAGGGCATTTCCTCTTCAGCATAAGGCAGCATGACCTCTTCAAGTATTCTGATGTATTCAGACTGATCCACGATCCCTGGTATGTGATAAATAGGCCCAACACCATAGTATGAGAAACATCCCCATATCATGATGCTTGCACCACCATGCTTCACTGTCTTCAGTGTACTGTGGCTTGAATTCAGTGTTTGGGGATCGTCTGACAAACTGTCTCCGGCCACTAGACCCAAAAAGAACAATCTTACTTTCATCAGTCCACAAAATGTTGCGCCATTTCTCTTTAGGCCAGTCAATGTGCTCTTTGGCAAATTGTAACCTCTTCAGCACGTCTTTTTTTCAACAGTGGGACTTTGCGGGGGCTTCTTGCAGATAACTTGGCTTCACATAGGCGTCTTCTAATTGTAACAGTACTCACAGAGAACTTTACACCTTCTTTGATCTTCCTGGAGCTGATTGTTGGCTGAGTCCGCGCCATTTTGGCTATTCTTCTATCCATTCGAATGGTAGTTTTTAGCTTTCTTCCACGTCTTTCAGGTTTTGGTTGCCATTTTAAAGCATTTGCGATCATTTTAGCTGAGCAGCCTATCATTTTCTGCACTTCTTTATATGTTTTTCCCTCTCCAATCAACTTTTTAATCAAGGTACGCTGTTCTTCTGCACAATGTCTGGAACGACCCATTTTCCTCAATTTCAGAGAGAAATGCACTGTAACCAGCATGTACAACATTTGCTGCCTTCCTTCCTTAAATAAGGGCAATAATTGCCACCTGTTTTTCCAAGAATGAATGACCTCACTAATAGAACTTCACACTGCTATTATTTTGAACATGCCCCTTTCAATGAGTGATACAATGACACAGAATCAGCAGCATACATGTCATGACTGTTGGGTCTGTTGGATTTCTATTACTCTACTACACCTGCTATTATTTTGAACACAACTTTATATCATTGACTAGTTTCCCTTTTTAAAAAGCATGGAGTTTCAGTTATAAAGTTGTAGTAAACCCTCACATGTACCCAGTGGAGTGACTGGATTCAGGTGATACACAGAAATGAAACAAATCCTCCTACATAAACTGTACCTGTTTATCTGCAGTCTTTTCTTTGCATCTGTTCAAACTCCAGAATTTATAAAGCTAGTCTGAGGGTTCCTAAATAAAAAATGCAGCAGAGAGCTTAAAGAGGAGTTCTGGCCACCCCTCCCAAAAATTAAGTCAGCATCTGCAAATACTGTAGCGGCTGACTTTTAATATTATGTCACTTACCAGTCCAGGGTTTCAGCGGTGTCCTCACCTTGAGCCGATTCTTCAGTCTGGTGCTGGCGCCACCATCTTGACTAAGGGAAACTGGCTGTTTCCTACTGCACATGCGCAAATCGCACTGCGTTTTGTGAATAAGCCGCAGTCCTCTGGGACCTGTGAAATATCCAAGAGGGCTGCACTGGGAAGAAGAGCCACAGGAAACTGAGCCGGAAGTGAGAGCGGGTACCTGTCAAAACCAGGTACCTACTGCTCCCCGCGCCCCAAAAGGGTGGAACTCTGCTTTTAGTTACACTATGCAGAGCTCAGTGAGGAAAGCTCTGAGAGCTGATTGGAGGGAAGGAATGCATCTCCCTTCACACAGCTCACAGGAACAGAGCTGAGGCTTTCACTCTGCTGGAGATCCCTCCCCATCACCATTTTTCTCTTGGTGTCAGAAAAACTTGTCGGAAGTGACTCATGCTGATAGCAAAGGAACAAAGCAGCAGACAGTACACACTATAGCTCAGTGGTCTCCAAACTGTGGGCCGGGGGCCTGGATATAGCCCTTTGCTAGCCTTTATTTGGACCTTGGTGCACTATTCCTCCCGCTTTCACCATTGATGGGTCACTATTCCTCCCACTGACACCATTGATGGGTCACTATTCCTCCCACTGACACCATTGATGGGTCATTATTTCTCCCACTGACACCATTGATGGGTCATTATTTCTCCCACTGACACCATTGATGGGTCACTATTCCTCCCGCTGACACCATTGATGGGTCACTATTCCTCCCGCTGACACCATTGATGGGTCACTATTCCTCCCGCTGACGCCATTGATGGGTCACTATTCCTCCCGCTGACACCATTGATGGGGCACCATTCCTCCCGCTGACACCATTGATGGGGCACCATTCCTCCCGCTGACACCATTGATGGGGCACCATTCCTCCCGCTGAGACCATTGATGGGGCACCATTCCTCCCACTTGACACCAAGGATGGGGCACCATTCCTCCCACTTGACACCAAGGATGGGGCACCATTCCTCCCACTTGACACCAGTGATGGGGCACCATTCTTCCCACTGATACCAATGGTGGGTCACTATTCCTCCCACTGACACCAGGACATTGTTTTCTACTCCCACTGGCTACCCTGAAGTTTGAAGGACCATAAACTGACCCTTTGTAGAAAGTTTGGAGACCCCTGCTATAGAGGGATATACTTTGTTCATATTTCATGTCTGAAATTTTCAACCACTTTAATTTGAAGCTTCTAAAAACCAAACCTTTCTATTGTCCTTTTTAGTCTTTTCCTGTCTCGTGGGGCCGACACAGAAACGCGTAACAATGAAGGCGACACACCATGTGACCTTACACTGGAGCACACTGATGTCTGGTACGCCTTACAGCTCAACCGCAAGATCCGGCAAGGGATTCAGAACAGAGCTGTGCGCACTGAGAGGATTATCAGCAGGTGGGTTGGTAGAGGTGGTTGGGTAATCGGTGTGGTTTTATGTACGCTAGCAATGGATGAAGTTAAGGCTGTTTTGTTTGTTTTTTTTTTTTTTTTCCATCACTGGGGTATACTTTTTATACTCAGTGGAGTAAAACCTGATCTGTGGAGTGATTACTGCAGCAGCAATATTGATATCAACACTTTCTTTCATTTACACACAGGGATATTGCACATGGCTATGAAAACTTTCCTATCCCTTGTGTGAATGGTGTGGATGAGGAGCTTTGTCCAGATGACTATAAATATGTATCGGAGAACTGTGAAACATCAGCCATGAGCATCGACCGCAATATCACCCACCTCCAGGTATTGCATGGCCTCTTTTTCTTTCATTTTCCAACATACTTTCTGCGTCTCACTTACTCTTTCTCTGTGTACAGAACTGCAGCTGCCTGGATGACTGTTCATCTAGTAACTGCCTGTGTGGACAGCTGAGCATCCGATGCTGGTATGATAAGGTGAGAGATTGCATTAAGTCATTATTTCTAAGTTTGTATGGAGTCAGCGGGGTATGGGCCCCTTTCCTAGGTGGTGGATCAATAATTGGAAGGAAGGGGAGGCTTTTAGAATCTCTATTCTTGTAACTTCCCTTGATTCCTATTAGGCCACAGTTCTAGTCAGTGGATCTGATGTATCAAATATGTGTAAAAAAAAAAAAAAAAAACGTTGGGCGCCCATAGCAGTTTAGTACTTAATTTTCATAGTTTAACCCCCCTGCGCTTAAGGATTAAACAAATGTTAACGCCTAAGCACAATTTTGCAGCTTTGACATGTGTTAGTAAAACTGTACATATCATCACTAGTTTGTATATCTGGGTGTTTTATACCTTGTTTTTTTAAGGACAAGTTTTTTTTTTTTTTTTTTTATTTGAACATAGCTGTGAATTTTTTTTTGTTACTACCATAACCTACCACCAAAGAACAACCTATTATAAATTCTCCTGCTCCAGGCAGTCGCAGCAATACCATATATGTGTGTTGTATGTACCCCTAGTACAGCCCAGAAACAATGGTGTGCTTTTTTTTTTCTATCCTACCTAAAATACACTGATACTAATTAATAAAAAAAAAAAAAAAAAAAAAAAAAAAAAAATCTTGCCCAAAATATACTGACCTTTGACTTTTCTTGACCCAAACACTAACCCTGGCACTCACCTAGACCAAACCATGAGTTAGGTATTTTTTTCTTTATATTATTTTTAATATTATTACATACTGTTTATTTTTCTCTGTGCAAGGATGTATCCCTCAGTACAAGGTATCTTTCCTCTGCATTCAGAGAGAGAAATATGGGTGGGCTTTACAGTGACCGATCACTATGATAGCCTTTGATTGGCTATCACAGCGATCATGTGACTCTGAGTTCTGGATCCTGATCGTTAGTATGGAACTTGGAGCTCCCAGTGAGACCCTGGTCTCTGTGCTGGGAGTGCACTGTATGGCGCACTTCCAGCACAGAGACGCACTGATATGTGGCCCCGTGGCAAAAAGCCCAATCCAGTGAGGCCGCATTTATGTGTATGCTCAGCGCCATGGGGTTAAGTTAGAAAATGTAAGGTCTTTCACCTTCCCATTTTTATTTTTAACATTTTTTCCTATCAGGATGGTCGTCTGCTTCAGGAATTCAACAAGATTGAACCTCCGCTCATTTTTGAATGTAACCAAGCCTGTGCCTGCTGGCAAACATGTAAAAACAGAGTGGTACAGAGTGGCATCAAGTAAGTATACAAAACACAATGCTGACAGTGATGCTTCCTGAGCTGTATTGGGAGTGGTCAATTATAACACAAGTCCTGAACTGATTTAACAGATCACAGCATGGGGGAAGAGCACAGACCTGTAGATATTAGGTTAGTGTAAGAGGGATAGATTAATGTTAAGAATTAGAACAAAGGTTAGGGTTTAGGAATTAAGAGTTGAGTTGTTGTTTTTTTTCTTTTTTTAGTCTTCATATTTAGGTTTGCTATTTGCGTGAACGTCATGCTGAATTAACCGCTTCTTGACTGCCCTATAGCAGAACTCCTGCTACAGGGAGGCAGGGCTGCGCAAAATCGTGCGTGTGTGTGTATACGTGATTTTGCAGTTCCGGGTAGGGGGCACGCACGCTGTTTTATCCATGCCGCCATCGGCGGCTACAGCTGTCGATCATCTGGTCCCAGACGAAGATTCCCCACCCGGCGACCGCTGAGGAAAACTGACAGGGGAGAGGTTTGTATGCAAACAGTACAGATCTCTCCCCTGTCAGCACCAGTATGGTGCTTTGTATTGCTCTGCATAGCAGAACAATACAAAGCAGCATGCTTACACAGTAAAACAGAACACAGTTAACCCTTTGATTGCCCAAAAAGTTAACCCCTTCCTTCCCAGTCATTAGTACAGTGTTGGTGCTTTTTTTAGCACTCATCAATGTATGCGTGTCACTGGGGATGTCAGTGGCAGTTATTCAGTTCCCCCCAGTGTCAGAATGCCCACCACAGTCCTGCTGAAAGTGGCTGATCGCCGCCGTTACTAGTATTAAAAAAGAAAAAAAAAAAATCTAGTATATATACCGCCATTTGTAGATGCTGTGACTTTCACATAAATCAATTCATTTACACGTATTGGGATTTTTTTTTTATAGCAAAGACACGTTGCAGAATACATTTTGGCCTAACTTTATGACGAAATTTGATTTTTTTTTTTTTTTTTTTTTCTTTTTAATTTTTTACTGGATATGTTTTATAGCAAAAAGTTAAAAATATTGTTTGGTTTTTTGTTTTTTTTTTGGGTGCAGCTCTACATGACCGCGCAATTTGTCAGTTAAAGTAACATAGCGCCGTATCGCAAAAAATGGCCTTGTCAGGAAGGGGGGGGGGGGGGGGTGATTCCTCTGGAGGGCAAGTGGTTAAAATGGCACTTCACCCTATAAGGGAAGCTCTGCTTTATGTCCTTTTAACATTTTTGGAGGGGAGCAGGTACCTAGTTTTGGTAGGTACTCGCTCCCACTTCCGGTTCTGGCACTCCCGTTCCCACCCGCAACCTCCTGGGACATATCACGTTAGGCCACGAGGCTTCAGGACCATTCACGCAGTGCGGCTCACACATGCCCAGTAGAAAGCCAGCTATGAAGCCGCAAGGAGTCACAGCCAGCTTCTCACATTAAATGTGTTGGTACCAGGGACCCAAAGAACCAGGCCGGGTGAGGTCAGTGTGTTTTTTTTTTTTTTTTTTTTTTCGTTTTTTTTTTTTTTTTTTTTTTAAGTCAGCAGCTACAGTATTTGTAGCTGCCGACTGTTAATTTTCTGCAAAAACCCTGAAGGTCCTCTGTAACAATTTTTAGTTTTTTGATTCACCGGCCTGATTTGAGTATACAGCGAGTAAAGTCAGCAATGACTATGGGAACATGTTACATGTTCCACCCTAAAAGCAGCTGAACATGTAACATGTTCCCAAAGGTGAACTTATCCTTTTACGTACTGCATACATCTCAGGCTGTTTTGACAAAGTTCTGACACTACTCATTGCTATTGGTCAGTAAAGCTGCCTATCATAGTGATGTGTCAATAGCAATGGGTGGCTGATTCAACCTGCTAGTTCACCCAAAGCTTTGAGTAAAACTGTGTTCATATCATTTTGATGTAAATAGTAAAACTGACCTAGGATCTCCATCTGGCATTCAAAAGGTTTTGGTGCAGCTTGTGTGGTTTGTTTTACATTTGCTAGTGGAATCTATAGTTGGGTGAATACTTGTATCTCTGCAGTCAGCTAGAGGACTTCTCTCCTGCAGGGTCCGGCTCCAGTTATATCGTACAGCGAAAATGGGTTGGGGAGTGAGAGCTCTACAGGACATTCCACAAGGATCTTTCATCTGCGAGTAAGTGTTTCACGTGTACCACTGTTCTCCTAAAGGGTTGTTTTCCTGTTAAAGAGAATCTGTCACAAAGAAAAGTAGCTGCAGAAGAAACCACTGGGGAAAGGTGTGTTTATGTAACTCCCAGGCCTCCAATCTGTTCAGGGCAATGATGCTGAACCTGTTCAGCTTTACTGTAATTATCGCCACTGCCCTGAAACTGGATAGCAGACTGGGAGTGAAGAGAATGGTATATTCTATTAGGCATTGGATGCTTTTCTTAGATACCATTTTCTTTTAATTCCACATTTTTTTTATCTATGGACATCTTATATCACTATGCCACCCGTTTTTATTGCCCAGTCCCTGTTAGGCACAATGCAGCAACATCAGTGGCGGACTGACAACTCATGGGGCCCCCGGGCAATAGGGGATCATGGGGCCCCTGTGTCCTTGCCCAAACTCAAAAAAGCCTATGAAAAAGGTACCAGGGGCATCTCATGGGGCGCCCTACTGACTCCCGGCCCTCGGGCAGTGCCCGAGTTTTCAAATGGTCAGTCCGCCCCTGAGCAAGATACTCTCCTCTACCGTGATGTCAGTTTCCATTGTATGCAATATGGCTAAAACTTTGTGGACACCTGTCTATCGGACCTATGTGAGCTTGTTGAGTATTACTTACCAAAACGTTGGGCATCAATATGGGGTCATAGCACAGAAAACTGATCAAACCATGTCATTTATGGAGCTTGCTTTTTACACGGGCACAGACATGCTGAGACTTTTGACCTTATAGTGTATGTTTGTTGGGTCATTTCTTGACTTTTGCAGGCTCATGGCTACACAGAATGCCCCACCTGATCACTTTGGGGTTTTACATTTTGTTCCTTTCCTCCTGTATTCTAATCCAGATTCCTATTTCCTGCTGCAGATATGTAGGAGAGTTGATTTCAGATGCAGAAGCAGATGTTCGAGAAGATGATTCCTATCTGTTTGATCTGGACAATAAGGTCGGTACCTGCTTCAATATTTGATGTTTAAGGAATATTGCAAAAAAAAAGCAATGTAAATGTAATTGCAAACTTTTTTTTGTAAAAAAACATAACCGCTCTGTGAAATGGAATTGTACAAAGTTTTCCCTGAATCTCCTCTTCTCTGGTCCCCTGCCAGTGCTCCTGGCTCCTCCTCTCAGTCCAATGCCCCCATAGAAGGCCCCTTCCTATGGGGGGTACTCATGCGGGCTTGCTCCCAGCCCCGCTGCCTGCATCCATAGACACAGACAGCGGGACTCAGCCCCACTCTCTCGTCACTGGCTTTGAGTGACAGCAGTGGGAGCCAATGGCACATTAAATCCATCTTGCACAGCGCTGGATTGAATGAGGGCTGAGATTAGTATAATAGGAGGGGGAGATGTTTAACCTTTATAACCACTTTAATATCTGAAATGGCTATGGAAAATTACCCTTCTATGCTCTACAACTCTTCTGTGACAATAACATACAGCTGTGGTGTCTGTTTGTACGTTCCACATGCATATGTCTTTGAACATGGGCCAATTTAAATGGCTGCTCCTTTTACATGTATTTCTTTAGGCCTTGCTTTCACTAAGAATGTTCTATCTTGCTCAATCTTGGAGCTGTCATAATTTTTGAGAATGTTCTTGTCTGTATATTTTTGTCTGTTTTAGCATGGAAAGGACATAACTGACCGTTACTTCCTCTTCATTGCAGTTTTCTTTTTTTTCACTAACCGTAAAATTTGTAGTTCCCACAGAAGGAAGCAAATGTGTGTACCCTCCCCCCTAAGTGACAATTTGCCATTTAAAGGGATGCTAAACTCTAGATGTTCATTGTAGAGCACAGCAGATCTCTAAGGTATATGCTCTACCCCTAGCAGGATAGACCGTGCATTGCCTGTGTAGATTGTAGTCTGGAGTTTCCATGCTTGACTGCATAGAGATGCAGGTTTCATATTGGCACACTGTCTTGAGAGACTTCATACATACAAGTGTCCATGTAACTGGGCCTGAGGAAAAGGAAGATAAGGGCTTATGTCAAAACTCAACAAATCCCAGGTCACCATGGTGACTGGAAATTGCATCCTGGCGCCTGGGCTACACTACAGCAACAGTCTGGATTTGGTCCCCCCCATGTGTTCTATCCCACGTCCCCTCCCTGTGGGTGCACAGACCAGGACGTCGGGCTTGCTGATAATTGAGGCCGCGGCTGTGCAGTCTGTTGAAGCAGGATAAAGTGCTTGTTTGTGAGAACTGGTACCCTCCTTTGATGGGTGGGGCAGTAATGAGTGCAGGGCACCTGTCATTCTGACGGAGGGCTTTCCCTTGCTTTTTCTCACTGCCCGCCCACCTCTGACATCTCCTTTGACAGCTGGGTGCTGGGATTGAGGTTGCAAACTTGATCTGGTGCCCTTTCTCTACCACCCGTGAGTGGACGGGGAGTGTGGGGCAGCTGGCTATGGCTTAATTTCCCTTTTATCCACTCCCTCCCCCCATTAAGAGGGAAACGTAGGTTTGAGTTGGGTAACAGAACAGATCCAACCTGATTATCAGTGCCGCCTATTGGTGCCCATCAGTGCAGCCTCATCAGCGCACATCAGTAAAGGAGAAAAATTAGTTATTTGCAAAATCTTATAACAGAACCTAAAAAAAAAGTTGTTTTGACTGGTTTTTGGTCTTTTTTCGTTTAACACCAGGTGTGAGTAATTCCTATTGCCCGACGCCCCGGACATGCAGTTTCGTGTGCTGGGCAGGTGAATTGGCTCCTAGATTCAAAGCAGATTTGTCAAGCCCTGTCTTATGTCATAGCAGGGCAGTGGGCCAAGCCTCTTATTACAGATCATAATACAAGTAATTTATGTAGATTTTTGATTTCACCAAGCAGTGGGTAATTTAGTTTGCAATACCGGAATGTCTGTATGTTTTTTGTATGCAAAGTCTGGGTTACAAAAAATGGATGACTGAAATTTGTAGCATATGCAGCACAATGGAACTGTCTCCTCTTTTTTTTTCCTCAGGATGGAGAGGTATACTGTATAGACGCCAGATACTATGGGAACGTCAGCCGTTTTATTAACCATCTGTGTGAGCCCAACCTCATTCCAGTGAGAGTTTTCATGTCCCACCAAGACTTGCGGTTTCCTCGAATTGCCTTCTTCAGTGGAAAGGATATCAAAGCGGGAGAGGAGCTTGGGTAAGAGAGAAGGCGACGATGCCCTTTTAAAATGAACAACTGTAATTTCAGAATATAACGGGACCGCCCTGAGTATAGGTTTCAACATAAACATGTTACCTGTAAAGACAAGTGAAAATACTTACCTTTCCTCCTGTCCACACCACAGAATGCTGCTTTGTTTCTGAGGAATCGTCCCCTGGGGTCTGCTAGGAAAACAAACATTTTTGGGAATGCCAATCTCCTTTTTTGTTTTTTTTTTCTTTTGCTGGTCTAACTGGTTCCTCTAGCCAACTTGAAGGAACACAATGACTGACACTCCCGGAAGTGTTGCTTTCCTAGCAGAGCTCATAGAACGATTTTTCAGCATTGAAAAAGTTGTTTGGCAGGGTGTGCAAAGGTATATCCCAGGGGTCTCCAAAATTTCCAAGCAAAGGGTCAGTTTACTGTCCTTCAGACTTTGGTGGGCCGGTCTGTGGCCAGTGTGAGTAGAAAATGCATTGGGAGTAAATGCCCCATCATTAGTATCAGTGAGAGGAATAGTGCTGCTTTAGTTAAGTGCCTTGTATCCATGGCAGGACTACTGCCTTCAAGGGCCGGATATAGGCAAGCAAAGGGCCACATCCAGCTTCCGGGCCACAGTTTGGAGATCATTGATATATACAATGCCTTGAAAAAGTATTCATACCCCTTGAACGTTTCCACATTTTATCATGTTACGAAAAAAAAGTAAATGTATTTTATTGGGATTTTATGTGATAGACCAAGCATTTTTTACCAATAAATATGTGAAAAGTGTGGCGTGCATTTGTATTCAGTCCCCCGGAGTCAATACTTTGTAAGACCACCTTTTGCTGCAATTACAGCTGCAAGTCTTTTTGGGGATGTCTCTGCCAGCTTTGTACATCTAGATTTGAATTTTTTTCCCATTCTTCTTTGCAAAATAGCTCAAGCTCTGTCAGATTGGATGGAGGACGTCTGTGAACAGCAATTTTCAAGTCTTGCCACAGATTCTCAATTGGATTTAGATCTGGACTGTGACTGGGCCATTCTAACACATGAATATGCTTTGATCTAAACCATTCCATTGTAGCTCTGGCTGTATGTTTAGGGTCGGTCGTTGTCCTGCTGGAAGGTGAACCTTCTCTTCAATCTCAAGTCTTTTGCAGACTCTTAACAGGTTTTCTTCTAAGATTGCCCTGTATTTGGCTCCATCCATCTTCCCATCAACTCTGACCAGCTTCCCTGTCCCTGCTGAAGAAAAGCATCCCCACAACACCATGCTGCCACCACCATGTTTCACGGTGGAGATGGTGTGTTCAGGGTGATGTGCAGTGTTAGCTTTCTACCACACATAGCATTTTCCTTTTAGGTTAAAAAGTTCAGTTTTGGTCTCATCTGACCAGAGCCCCTTCTTCCACATGTTTGCTGTGTCCCCCACATGGCTTCTCACAAACTGCAAACGGGACTTCTAATGGATTTTTTTCAACAATGGCTTTCTTCTTGCCACTGTTCCATAAAGGCCAGATTTGTGGAGTGCATGACTATTTATGTATTATTACAGGTACTAATATAGCACTGTCAATTTATGCAGCGCTTTACATATATATTGTACATTCACATCAGTCCCTAACCCTCAAGGGGTGTACAATCTAAGGTCCCTAACTTACATTCATACATACACATACTAGGGCCGATTTAGACAGGATCCAATTAACCTACCAGCATGTCTTTGGAGTGTGGGAGGAAACTGGAGTACCTGTAGGAAACCCATGCAGGCACAGGGAGAACATGTAAACACCAGGCATGTGGTGCCGTGGTTAGGATTTGAACCAACGACCTTAGTACTGCCAGGTGGAAGTGCTAACTATTTAGCCACTGTGCTGCCCAATAGACTAATAGTTGTCCTGTGGCTGCTTCTCTGATTAATGCTGTACTTGCCTGGCCTGTCAGTTTAGGTGGACGGCCATGTCTTGGTAGGTGGGCAGTTATGCCATACTCTTTCATTCCATGAGATATTCAAAGCTTGGGATATTTTTTTGTAACCTAACCCTGCTTTAAACTTCTCCACAATTTTATCCCTGACCGGTCTAGTGTGTTCCTTGGCCTTCATGATGCTGTTTGTTTACTAATGTTCTCTAACAAACCTCTGAGGGCTTCACAGAACAGCTGTATTTATACTGAAATTAAATTACACACAGGTGGACTCTATTTACTAATTAGGTGACTTCTGAATGCAGTTGGTTCCACTAGATTTTAGTTAGGGGTATCAGAGTAAAGGGGGCTGAATACAAATGCACGCCACACTTTTCAGAGATTTATTTGTAAAAAATGTTGAAAACCATTTCTCATTTTCCTTCCACTTCACAATTATGCGTCACTTTGTGTTGGTCTATCACATAAAATCCCAATAAAATACATTGACGTTTTTGTTTGTAACATGACAACATGTGGAAAATTTCAAGGGGTATGAAGACTTTCAAGGCACTGTATGCACTTCTTTTGTAATTCTTAGATTTTGTGACAGGGTCACTTCAAAATGTGTGTGTATGTTATAAATTTTTGTTTTATATTTGCTAACCGACACGTGTCTGTCCTCTTCAGGTTTGACTATGGTGACCGTTTCTGGGACATTAAGAGCAAATACTTCACATGCCAGTGTGGCTCTGAGCGGTGTAAACACTCAGCCGAAGCGATCGCTCTGGAGCAAAGCCGCCTCGCCCGATTGGAGGTTCCTGAAACAGTGCCAGTGCCCGTTCCCCCTCAGAATGTGTGATGCCATTAGACTCTAAACTGGGCTTCACTCATACAGCCGACACCATTCTTTTATGACCCTTGTAAGGGACTTGTATGGTGTCACTCCATTCAGCTACTTCCTGCCATGACCCCAGCAAACCGTCTCTTATCTCTTGTCCAAGTAGCAGTCCTGAAACCAACAGTCTATTACCCATTCTCTTGCCACATCGTTGTCTTGTAAATCGTCCAGTCTCACAAATAAAAATAAAGATTGTGACTTTTTTTATATATATAAAAAATATTCATTGTTTGTAGCGTATATATGGAGCATGATGTCCCTCAACTGTAAAGTATTACAGATGTCAGATCTCATATTTTCTGTGAATGGATGCAAGCCAGAGGCATTTATAAAGGTCACAAAACATCTAGGTGAATGTTAAAATAGTAAAATGACTTCATATCCACCTAGACGTAATGCTAGCTGGTTTTCAAATTGTGTAATAAAGTGTACCTAAATTCCAGAACAAAAAATGTAAAATATTATCGCATGCCAGTACTCTGTGGTGCCTGCATTTGTTTTCATTTTCTCCCTATATTTTCAGCTGGTGATCCTGCCAGTAATACACTTCCAAAACTAGCAAACACCTCATTTTAACCTCCTTGGCGGTATGATTCTTTCCGATTTTTGGTGCTGAAAGCGGTACCGGTTTTTTTGCATGGAAATATGTAGTTTTTTATTGTAGACTGTAATTTTTAGGAATAACTCACTGAAATCTGTCCGAACAAGAGTCTAGTAAACATTCCGGATATGATAAAACTTGAAACACGAAATCATAAATTATAATTTCATAATCATAAAAAATAATAAATTTAATTCAATAATATAATCAAACCAAAAACACTGAAATTTGAAATACAGAGGCAAATTCGCACATCGCTGAGCAAAGTCGCAAAATCGTTTTCAGTGTCTGATGACGAATTTCTCCACGAATCATTATCACTCAATTCTGCAAGTGGTTCTGATTTACTATCGCTGTTCTCTAGCTGGTCTAAAACCGCTTTTGACGTAAAGGGATGCTCTTTGGACGCCATGGACTTTTCTAAGTTTCCAGGCAGAAAGAACAGTCAAAATGCAGGCAGAGCACAGGACAAAGCAGTAGGGACAAAATATATGTGAAAAATTTCAAATTTGCCGCCGGTTCCGGCGCCCGTACGTCCCGACGTCACAGGGACTGGAAGCCGGATGCCGGGATCGGCCGGAGGAGATGGCCGGGGACGCTGCAGGGGACACATCGCAGGAGCGAAGGACAAGGTAAGTGCTGCAGGGACTCCCTATACAGCACCGCATGGTAAGCCCGAGTGTAGCTCGGGGTTACCGCTCTTGGTACTCAAATTTTACCCCGAGCTACACTCGGGAATACCGCTAAGGAGTTTAATAACATGGGGAGGTATTCTGTAGTCCACAGGTGATCTGGGCATGGCTGATAATATGCTGCTTGAGTTAACTTTGCAGAATCAATGGACAGCACTAGATTTCTAGCAGAAGCAACAGGTATTTTTTTGGCATTCAAACACATACAGAACACTGGTATATTTAGCTGACCGGATGGAAACAAATAATTGTTAGGATTTACTTTAATGCTGGTGGGGTTTGGGAAGCTTTGTTCACATGACTTTTTTTTGTTTGTTTTCAATATACAGAATTGCAAACATCTTTATGTTTGGGTTACTGTAGAGCAGGGGTGTCTAACTCCAGTTTATCGCAGGCCGCATCAGCATTATTATCATAAAGGTCAGTTGTAGCGGTAAGACTAGATGAAAAGACAATGCTTCAATAATGTGTGACTGTTACTGAAACTTAAATAGTGAAGGCCCAATCCAATACCATATTAATCACAATAACACTGGTAGGTGTCATCCCTATAATTATGTAAAAGTGTACAGAAAACTGGAAAGATTGGTACTTTGATTATACCTTACCGGTGTTCTAGAACGGGTTAAAATTTCGAGTCCAGACCTAGCCAGGCACAAACCTTACTCGTGTCCCCCGCGACGGTGTGTGAGCGGGCCTCTAGTCCTCCACAGCAGTGGGAGAGCGTGTCTCCTCTCAGCATAGGCGAGCAGACCTCTCCTGCATGTGTCCCCTCAGCGGCGCTGCCACTGTAGTGGCGATGCTGCGGAAACCGGAATTTGTAAACCGGAACTTGGCTTCACAATGACGCTTGGAGCGCATGTGCAGTCGCTCCATGCTTCTTCATCTGTGCTCGCAGCCGCTCACCACAGAGGAATTTCTCCTCGCATTTGGCGAGCGGCTTTTTCAAGCCCTGTTCTAGAAAGCTAAATAACAATATTAGATACAAATAATTAAAATTCAGTAAACTACATCTCGTGTCCTGAACATAAGAGTTATATTGTCTCATCTCCGTGCTTTGCAGTTTCTTCAGGACATTGTTATGTATACGGCTTCAAAACAAAGTAAGTAAAAATATTTCACCTGAAAATAAAATATAACATAAGTAAACAAGGTCTTACCAGATGTGTTATTGGCACAGTGACAGGCAGATGACCAGTTGCATTATTTCCCTGCTTTACTGTAGGAGCATGAAAGTTGTAGCTGGGCCGCATGGACATCTGGGCCCTATTCTAACTAAATAGCCATCAATTTTGAAGGGCTCCCAAACGCACGCACATGCACTGTGCAATTTGATGCGATACCTTTCTGAAACCGTGCAACGATGTGTGTTTTGAGGCTCGTTTTACTGCTTAATCAATCTTTAAAAAAAAAAAAAAAAAAAATGCCTTAAAGTGGTATTTTACCAAAAATCAAACATTTATTTTATTACAGTTTACTAATTCTTAGATGTGGTGACTACATTCGTTTTCTTTTTTAGATTTTCTTTCCCTTATTTTCATCCGGCAAATAAGTCTGTTGTGTTTCAACAAAACAAGCTCTCCCACAAATGTAGCGGTTAGAGAGCTAAGACAAACCATTTACCACTGACAGGGATGCTTAAAATGATCAGCTTTTATTCATGTAAAATCTTTTATCCCAAAAGGAAAGAAAATGTAAAAAAAACTGAACGTGACTTGAAGCTTTGTTTTAATTTGTTAGTGTATCTAAATCTGCTAGTACATCTAACACTCCCCTTCCACCAGACTAACAATGCTACTGTCCAGAGGTGCCCCCTGTACTCCTTTATCTGGTGTGCTTCTGGCCAGATTACGGGGTGGTAAAAAAAAAAAAAAAAAACAAAGTCCCATTCACACAGGCTGCATCCATTTTTCTCAGCAGGGGATCTGTGTGCCGGGTGGGACAGGCAGATGACAGCCCTGTGTCCACTCCACTCTGTCTGACACAGCCTACTTTGCTCTATGGGCTGTTGGATGTAAATGGACCAACTGTCTGTTTACATCTGACTGCCCTCCGATTCGATCCGGCCAGATGGAGGGGAAGGATCGCTTTCTGTTTGTTTTTGCTGAATTGGATCAGATTTACAGGTAAGCGGGTGTATATACAAGTCTGTTTACATCCACCGCTACATAGAGAAAGAAAAGAGGGTCCACTTAAAAAACGGACAGGTGGACCTGATTGGACCGTTCATGTGAAAGGGGCCCACAAAATGAAATCCAATGCAGCCACTACATTGAATGGGTTTAATACCTCTTCAAGGAAGGGGGGGGGGGGTCTCCAAACTATGGCCCACAGGCAACATGCACCTGCTACAAGATTTTATCAGACCCGAGGCAACTGTTCGTAAGAATACCCCAGCTGCTTTGTATTGTAATATGGAGACTGGAGCATCTTCTGCCAGTCAACCAGCTGTGACCCACCTCAGTCCCCCTGATGCTCACTGCTGGATAGAAGGGGGGGGGGCTCTGATGTTCACTGCTGGATTTAAGGGGGGGGGGAATGGACTCTGATGGGCATTCCTGGATGTAGGGATGGGAACTCTGATGGGCATTCCAGGATGTAAGGGGGGAATGGACTCTGATGGGCATTCCTGGATGTAAGGGGGGAGGGACTCTGATGAGCACTCCTGGATGTAAGGAGGAAGGAGGAATAAGGGGACTCTGATGGGCACTCCCGGATGTAAGGGGGGGGATTCTCTGATGGGCACTCCCGGATGTAAGGGGGGGGGGGGCATTCTGATGGGGGGAATGTACTCTGATGGGCCCTGGATTCCTGGATGTTAGGGGGGAGGGATTCTGATGGGCATTCCTGGATGTTAGGGGGGGAGCGACTCTGATGGGCACTCCTGGATGTAAGGGGGGAATGGACTCTGATGGGCATTCCCGGATGTTAGGGGGAAGGACTCTGATGGGCATTCCTGGATGTAAGGGGGGATGGACTAGACTCCTGATGGGGAATTCCCGGATGTTAGGGGGGATGGGCAGGGACTGTAATGGGCATTCCTGGATGTAAGGGGGGAATGGACTCTGATGGGCATTCCTGGATGTTAGGGAGGAATGGACTCTGATGGGCATTCCTGGATGTAAGGGCAGGGGGGGAGGGGGGGGGACTCTGATGGGCACTTTCGGATGTAAAGGGGGGGGGGGACTCTGATGGGCATTCCCGGATGTAAGGAGTGGGGGGGGAACTCTGATGGGTACTCTTGGATGTAAGGAGGGACTCTGATGAGCACTTCAGGTCCTTTAAAACACTCTTGAAGGAGGCAGCTACATACAAGGGTTTGGCATTTGTTGTGTATTTTACAGCTTGTGTACTTTGGGTGTTCTTAGGTCAGTGAAGATCAGTTTGTTTACGTACTGCGGCATCAATCATGCAAAAGCCATGCTCACCACAGGGTAGACAAGATTATCCTGTTCTTCAATATGCAACTAGAAAGTGACGCATACAAAACTTTGTCATCAATTTTGTACAACGAAGGACAATCAATAACGAAAACACACACACTCCAATATATGATGTTGGACAATTGTGTCCACAATGATATACAGGGAATTTCTAGAAACATTCTATATGGTTTTTGTTGTTTATAAAACTTGGTGTGATGCATTTTTTTTTTTTTTTTTTTGCTA